GCATTTTCGACAATTACGGGTGGGGCCAAGATCATTTCAAGCATACTCAGTGGCGGGTCTAGGGGGGTTCCATGGAACCCCCCCTTTGGCAGAAGAAGTTGTCTTTTTGCAGTATCTTTGGATTCTTTGCAGTCAGTTTGCATCACTTTTCCTCCATTTTATTAGTTAGATCTACACCCAAATTTTAATTGAAATTAATGAGCTACACCTACTTAAGTGAAATGGAACTCCCCTTTTAATTTTTCTGGATCCGCCAGTGATACTGCTATGTTACTGGTACTTCTGATTGCTCCTTAAAGCACTGGAAACTGCTGAAATCATGATCAGGGGGCTAGATAACTTTGCTAAGAGGCTTGGTAGTGATGCAAGAGTCCAGGACTTCAGTAATTTTTTCTGAGCCCAGCCCTGAGGGGGGTGCTCAAGCCCCCTCAGCCCCCCCCTAAATACGCCTCTGCTTTTGCACCTATTATTCTTTAAATTATTCCAGAATATTTGGCCCAAGCCTACCCTTTAGCTGTACCAAAACAAATGCATAGGTCAGCTTATTAACAGAAATACAATTACATGAATTGCTTACCTTAACAGTATAATAGTCTGGAATCACTATTGACCACTGTTTATCACTGTATATCTTTGTTTACTTATGTTTACCTGTGTTTAACACTGTAAATCACTGTTGACCCATGTTTACCACTGTATATCTTTGTTTACTTATGTTTACTTGTGTTTAACACTGTAAATCACTGTTGACCAATGTTTATCACTATATATCTTTGTTTACTTATGTTTACTTGTGTTCAACACTGTAAATCACTGTTGACCCATGTTTACCACTGTATATCATATGTATGTATGTATTTAGCTACCTATGTTTATTAATGTTTGCCACAGTTTCAATGCTTATCAATGAGGTTTACTGTTGTTTACCCATTTGTATGTTTTAATCATCCTTACCATACTTAATAATAGCTCTTTCAACCATTGATGTTTACCATGATAACAGTAAACTCAAGAGTTTGGATACATCATTGGTCTTAAATCAAGCCTCATATGCGGCTGTGGGCGAATCTGGAATTTTTTTCACAGTTGTTATAACGTCTTTAATCAAATAATAGATTAATGACCTATGAAATACCTTATTTACCATCATAAATACTTGAGGCACGGGCTTAAAGACATAAACATTAAACTAACTGAATCTCTTACACCAAGTATATATGAACATCATTGTCAGCCTTTTCCAGTGAACCAGTGAATAACCTTATAAAATAACAGCCCCCAAGTTTAAAATTTTAAAAACATCGAAATGAGATTTTAAATTATATATAACTCACTTAGATCTAAAACTACATTGTAAATGCACACAAAAGTAAAAATTAAAAGGTAACCAATTTTAAATATAAAATGAAGCAAAAATTAATATTTTCAAAGTTTATCCAAGTGAAGGAACATTGGCAGTTTCAGCTAATCCTTTTCTTTTTCTTGTCTCCACTACAACAGATCCAGCCATTGACTTGCTGTCCAAAGGATCACCAGGCAATAACTGCCAATGATCAAACACACACTGTGGGAATGCCTGACCTCCAGCACTGCCACGAAGATTACCAGTGAATCCTAATAATTTAATTATATACACAAGAGATTACAATACTTTTTTCTTACATATTGATGTCCTCATACCATGCCACATATGTACTAATAATAATGACTTATATTTTTTTCACATAAAAATGATTGTTATTATACATATTTTTACTGTACATTAAAATAAACAAACAAAAATTTTAGGTAAGGAAACATCTGCAAGATAATGGCCAGTAAACTATGCACATATCAAAGTGTTTGTAGTTAAGAGTGTGTGTATCTTACCAAAGGATTCATTAACAGGTAGATAAGCTTTCACAACAAACATTGATGTACCAGCCAGTGGAAATTCCTCAAAAATGTGTCCTCTCCAACGATTAAGAACAGAATAAATGCTACTAATGACACTATCAGGACACTAGAGGCATAAAACACAACAATTGAACAGTAAATCTAGTAGTCACCATGAATGTGACCAAAAAGTTACAATCAACAAGATGATTTTAAACACTTGATTGCCTTTATTTTAGTAAAAATTATAAAAATTTAGAATTCTCCCATATATTATTTTTGACAAAAATTAATTTTTGGCGAAGACCAAATTTGGTCTAATTTTTTAGCAAACTTTAATTTTTTAAAAATCTAATTTTGAACAGAACCAGCTCAAACTTTCTACACAATATAAGAACATGTATATGCATCAGAAAAAAATTT